CGTTTCTTTCTTCTCCTTAGTTGCCATGGAATGTAATGATAAGGTATCTACATTTGCACCATGTTTGTTATCCAACTTTGTTTTCATCCCAAGCAGGGACGGATTCAGGATCGGATTACAAGTCGGGCTAATACGTAAAAAAAAAAACAAAATTACACATAAATTTATTTTTAACATAAATTTTTTTTTTCTAACTTAAAAAAAAAAATTAGTAGGGGGAGAGGGGGGGCTCCATCCGTCCCTGATCCCAAGTCAATTAAGCATCTCATCAATCCCATCCTTAGATGATAGAAGTTTGTCAGCCATTTTTCGAACTCACAAAACACTGTGTATTTTAAAGTGTACACCATGAATACAAATGACAAACACGAATCTAAACATATACTTGATCTTGAACACAAATGATGAACATGATAGACATGCGAATGTAAAACTACTAAACAAGTAAAAATACACTTATTTATTCCCACATGTTCCACGTCAACAAAAATTGTTAGTGAAGCACAGTGAATAAGAACGATAAATCTATTAAACATGACTTTACAACAAATGGGAAAAGAACACGCGATATAATGAATAAATTGTGAAAACGTACGTATTTAGTTAAAGCCAATCAATCAATGATTGATCTATGTACCCTTATTTCAGCCTCTTCCAGATAGGAGAAGCTGAGTAGGGAATTGCTTCGAATAAATGATGTGTCTCCATACAATACTTTCCCCGTAAGAACTGGGCCCAAAGAGATCTCTGAGAATAGAACAACTACCAGAGCTTCATGGAGAAGGTGTCCACCACATCCTGTAATCTCCTAAAGCCTGGACCACCTTCATCAGTAAGAAGGCAAATATCCTTCCAACTTCGCCAATGTAAACGTCGTGCCTATTCTTTGGAATCCCACAAGAATCGCGTAAAGATGCTATCATGTTTCTTCAGGATGGCCTTAGGGGTTGCATGATCTGAAGAAGATGTAATGGTAAGGAAGAGAGCCTTGACCTTAGCAAAGTAATATGGCCCTTATATGATAAAAGTC